TCTCTCTCTCTCTCTCTTCATCAGTCTCTCTCGCCTTTCTCTCCACACCATCAAAGGGTCATCCAATCAATCAGGTCCGATTGACCCTGTCAGCCTGCTGACCCTGTGTACACATCAGTTAGTCGAACCACTTCATGTAAGACCTTAGTTTATCCCTCTCGTGTTCATATGAGTCTGTCTAAAGCCGTGAGACACACACACTGGAATCATAATGCTCTACATAACGTGTAGCAGTCTCCCTCTATTGACTATGACCTTTTCAGACAGTTGTTGTGTGTGTGGATTGGTGGGGATGGGGTGTTGTCGCTGTTGCATGTTCCTATATCGTCTGATGTGAATATTGAGTCAACAACAAGTAGTTGGCCATTCTTAACATCTGTTTAATTGATTTTGAATGTCAAGTAGAATAAGGTGAGTGATTGTGTATGTGGCTGTCAGTACAAGTGAAAACCCTCCGTGCTTATAGTGACACAGGGTGTCTTTGATCATCAATTCACATAAACACCCTCTTGTGTTCAAAGCCTAAAAGGCTTAGTGCTTTATGGCCAAAGGAGTGCGCATGTGTGCGTGTGTTACCACTTGACCCTCACAGAAGTAGAATCACCATTTGGACACATAACCCTATCCAAAACACCTTACCCAAGAATGTGTGCATTCAGAGCCTCGTTCATTTTTGATTCCAGTAAACTATGAACTTCTCCTGAGTCAGCGGTCAGCTCCTTACATTGCAGCTCCATCACCATCAGAGTGTGAATGTGTGTAGGTATATCTGGGTGAACATGAGGTATTACATGCAAGAGAAAAACCTTTTAGAAATGCATTACATTTAACAGTCAATCATATTTTTTAACACACTACCTGGCCATCTCAACAGAATTTAATGGAATTTCTAAACAATTCGTGACTTAGATTTAGATATTTTATTATTGGTGTTCTGTTGGTTTCTGTTTGGAATAATATCAAACTATCAGTTAGCAGATTAAGTGTCATCTAACTACCACTGTCTTTTTAGAAATGTTTATTGCTAAAAATCATTAGCCGTTGCATTGCAGGAGTGAAGGGGCAACAGGTATGATTTTTTATGTAGTTCATCATGAAATAGTCATAATATATCTGCTATATCTACAATAACAACAACTTACTGTGCTTGCTGGCACAGTAGCCTAAATTAGTAAACAATAGACTAATAAGATATAAATGTAAAGCTACACAAAATGAATACACTAGAGCAAATTAGTCATGTCCTAATTAAAGCTTTTTACAATTAATGTGCGCACATGTGCATTAATATGTGTGTGTATGTGCAGTTTTATGAGTTTACTTCTTCTGTCCTTTTAAGAAAAGGATAAACTGTCCTGTCCCAAGAGGATTGGGCATCCCGAAAGTCCTTCAGGCGGGTGGAACGACCTGCAGCAACATCACACACACACACACATGCTTTCTCCCTCTCATTAGCGATTGTGTATATGCGCAGCCTTGGTAGCGCACGATAAGGGCATGCGACGCTCAGCAGACTGCAACGTTAGTCACGCAGCCCCCTGCATGCACATTCACAGACTCACACACACCAAAAGCAATGACTCACTACTGCCACAGCGATGATAGCAGTGATGAGAGATAAAGAGGGAGAGTGAAAGAAAGAGTGTAAAAAGGGAGGGAGGGAGAGAACACCCCAATATCTGCTTGCCCCAGAGTGTAAAGGGGAGACAGAGGGGTAGCCAAGTGGGCAGGTGTTCTGCGTGTGTGTGTAGTAGAAAGAGAGACATTGTATACTGGTAGTTTTTTAAGACAAGGTGGAAGGCCAGTAGAGATGTTGTTTGGTCATATTGGTGTGTTCCTGTGGGTTTCATACAGGTCTGATTGTGATGTGACAGCAGTTTAACTTTGAAGCAGTGTGGTTTAACCTCTGGTTGTAGTCCAGTGAAGTGAGTATGAGTGTCAGTAGTCAGATTCACAACAGTTAAACAGTAAGTAATAATTGGGTAGACAGCCACGGTGTCCTAATCAGTCTCCCCAGGGATTTACTCGTTTGCTAAATCAACAATTTCCTGTAGATATTGCAGGGGCTTGCAGTTTTTACCAGTCAACACACACAAAAAAATCCTTCTCCGACAAGGACAGTAACATTAATCCAATAAATCCTTTGACATCCAATTATCAGTGATTGTTACACTTTTTCCTGCAAACAAACATATGAAAAATTCATAAAATCAGTCACTGAATGGACTCCTGTCTGTTATGGTACCACGAGTACTTGATGGCTGAAATGGGAATCAAACTCTGAACCCCAACAGTGTTTTTGTTGCTCTACCTAATGGACTTACAGTACACACCAGATAGTACTTTACCACCTGGTGTGTACTATACCTGGGAATGATTGCTTAATCACTAATAAAGCAGGAGGACAAAGTACCCTTGTGGTTTTTTGCAAAAGCAGAGCACCCACCCAACGTGCATTTGCTCAATAAAAAGAAAAGGTGGATGTCACAATGATATTTCTTTGACAAAGAGACATTTCTGTGAAAATACTCACTATTAGAAGATTTCTTTTTTGTCATCTATGCCCCAGAAATCTCTGAGAGACAAAACCTTTGGCATTCACACAACCGAGGTATTAGAGGTTACAGCCTTAAAGTTAATGGAAAGCAAACATTAATTTGACACTGAATAAATCTCCCAATGAAAAGATTTATTGCAGTTTTGTTTTGTTTTGTTTAGGAAGTAAATAAAAGCCATCAGACATACAGTAGAGTGAGAGAAGGCCTTTATCTTTTCCCGCAATCAGTAATTTAAATGTACTCTCTGCTCTTATGGATTGCTGCCCGAGTCTTTACATGCACACACACGAACAGTACCGCTTTCAAACATCTAAGCTCTGGCCTTATAGTTTAAAATGTTTAATTGGCCATTTTGTATATTGCACTTTATAAATAAATTTGCCTCAATTTGATAGGGTTTGAAGAGGCTGGTAGACGCTGACAGACTACCAAACAAAGCAAAGTGAGGACAGACTAATTGCTGACATTGTTTTTGAAAGTCAATAATCTGAAGCTAAAGTAACAACTCCCCATCTACAGCTTGTTCCCCACCCACGCTGTCTCTATTAGCTTTCCCCGCTCTACACACCCTGCTTGACTATCTCCCTCCGTCTCAAGCAGTGGAACATGTTTGCCCTAATTGTCGACTTTATTACACGTTTCGCCGTCTTATTAACGTTGCCACAACGTCAATCTTAGCCCGAGTCGGTTTCTTTTCCACTTGGCTTGGCATATTTGGAGGCCTGGTAATAAAGCATTTCTGCATGCTGTTTTTGATAGTGGGAGAAGCGAGCGTGTAGCTTTTTAACACATGTTCACTTTGAAAACAATAGCATTTTTTTGCATTTTGCATAATCTGAATATATTTTCTGGCTCGGGGTTTTGTTGAAAGTCAAGTTAATTGCTTCCTTTTTGTCTCTCTCATGAGTGAGAGAGTGTGTGTGAGTGTTAGGTGTTCACACAAACCACAATGTAGCTAACATATCAACTTCTACCAGATTTATCTCATGGCATGTCAGTAGGTGTGTTTGCACGCACGTGTTTACATGTGCACTAATAGAGTGTGTGTGTGTG